AAGAAAAAGAAAACCAAGAAGGCAAAATGGTTGTCTGCTGAGACACTGGAAGTAGCCCAAGAAAGGAGGAAAGCAAAAGGAAACAGTGATAAGGGGAGATATGCCCAGTTAAATGCACAATTCCAGAGGTTAGCCAGAAGAGATAAGGAACTATTTTTAAATAAGCAATGCATGGAAGTGGAAGAAGACAACAGAATAGGAAGGACAAGAGACCTCTTCCAGAAAATTAGAAGCATTGGAGGTAAATTTCAGGCAAAAATTGGTATGATAAGAAACAAAGATGGCAGGGACCTAACAGAAGCTGAAGAGATCAAGAGAAGGTGGCGAGACTATACAGAAGATCTGTATAGGAAGGATAATAATATTGAGGATAGTTATGATGGTGTGATGAATGAATTAGAACCAGACATCCTGAGGAGTGAGGTTGAATGGGCCTTAAGAAGCATTGCTAACAACAAGGCAGCAGGAGACGACGGGATCCCAGCTGAACTGTTTAAAATCTTGAAAGATGATGCTGTCAAGGTGATGCATGCCATTTGCCAGCAAATATGGAAAACACAAGAATGGCCATCAGACTGGAAAAAATCAACTTATATCCCCATACCACAAAAGGGAAATGCGAAAGACTGCTCCAACTTCCGTACAGTGGCCCTTATTTCTCATGCCAGTAAGGTAATGCTCAAGATCCTGCAAGGAAGACTCCAGCAATACATGGAGCGAGAGTTGCCAGATGTTCAAGCTGGGTTTAGAAAGGCAGAGGAATGAGAGACCAGATTGCCAATATCCGCTGGATAATGGAGAAAGGCAGGGAGTTTCAGAAAAACATCTACTTCTGCTTCATTGACTATTCTAAAGCCGTTGACTGTGTGGATCATAATAAATTGTGGCAAGTTCTTGGTGGGATGGGCATCCCAAGCCACCTTGTCTCTCTCCTGAGGAATCTGTACAAGGACCAAGTAGCAACAGTCAGAACTGACCACGGAACAACAGACTGGTTCAAGATTGGGAAAGGCGTACGGCAAGGCTGCATCCTCTCACCCAACCTTTTTAACTTGTATGCAGAACACATCATACGATGTGCGGGGCTTGAGGAATGCAAAGCTGGGGTGAAAATTGCTGGAAGAAACATTAACAACCTCAGATATGCAGATGACACCACTCTGATGGCCAAAAGTGAGGAGGAGCTGAGGAGCCTTCTAATCAAGGTGAAAGAAGAAAGCGCAAAAGTTGGGTTGCAGCTAAACATCAAAAAAACCAAGATTATGGCAACAAGAATGATTGACAACTGGAAAATAGAGGGAGAAAATGTGGAGGCCGTGACAGACTTTGTATTTCTAGGTGCAAAGATTACTGCAGATGCAGACTGTAGCCAGGAAATCAGAGGACGCTTACTTCTTGGGAGGAGAGCAATGTCCAATCTCGCTAAAATAGTAAAGAGTAGAGACATCAGACTGGCAACAAAGATCCGCCTAGTCAAAGCCATGGTATTCCCTGTAGTAACCTACGGATGTGAGAGCTGGACCTTAGGGAAGGCTGAGCGAAGGAAGATCGATGCTTTTGAGCTGTGGTGTTGGATGAAAGTTCTGAGAGTGCCTTGGACTGCGAGAAGATCCAACCAGTCCATCCTCCAGGAAATAAAGCCCGACTGCTCACTGGAGGGAAGGATACTAGAGACAAAGTTGAAGTACTTTGGCCACATCATGAGGAGACAGCAAAGCCTAGAGAAGACAATTATGCTGGGGAAAGTGGAAGGCAAAAGGAAGAGGGGCCGACCAAGGGCAAGATGGATGGATGGCATCCTTGAAGGGACTGGACTGACCTTGAAGGAGCTGGGGTGGTGACGGCCGACAGGGAGCTCTAGCGTGGGCTGGTCCATGAGGTCACGAAGAGTCGGAGACGACTGAACGAATGAACAACAATGCAACAAGTAACAGTTACTATTCTCCCCCTTTGTAAACTATAAAGGAAATTTCCCAAAAGTCATGAGAAAATTGTTGAAATCTTTGAGGTCAACAAAAGGAAATCTTGCCATCTTGTGGTGAGAATATATATTGTTTCCATTAGTTCAGTTGCTAACCAAGGATAAACCATGACAAGATTTCCATCTCTAGATTCAATATTCCAAAAATAAATTATGTGTCATTACAATATCTCATGCAAATGAATACTCTCAAGTGACTTAAGGATCCATGCTTCTGAGGATTTTGCTTTATGGCACACAAATACTCTTGCCTTTTCTATTTCATATCCATGTGTTACTGGTTCTTGTTGGCACATCTTCTTAAAACCAGGGAAGGCAGTAGAGATGCTATTGATATGGTCGGAGGACTAATCAATAAACAAATTAACTATCTACCAGGGAAGGCAACTGTATTGGAGCCAAGGGTCCATTTCTCCCCCTCCCTCAGGCCACATCCTCCCAAATAATTTTATCTTACTTTGAATCCTTACCAAATGGCTAAACACTTGAGCTGGCAGGACTGAATACTGACAGGTCAGAGGTACGAATCCAGGGAGAATGCAGATGAGCTCCCTCTGTCAGCTCCAGCTCCCCATGTGGGGACATGAGAGAAGCCTCCCACAAGGATGATAAAACATCAAAACATCTGGGTATCCACTGGGAAACATCCTTGCAGACAGCCAATTTTCTCACATCAGAAGTTACTTGCAATTTCTCAAGTCGCTCCTGACATGAAAAAAAAAACTGCAGATGAAATCACATCACTTTTGGACACCATTTTGAGAAAGAAGAGAAGGCTGAGAGGAGACATAATTGCCATGTATAAATATCTGAAGGGGAGTCATAGGGGTGGGTGAACAAGCTTATTTTCTGCTGCCCTCGAGATTTAGGATTTGAAGCAATGGTTTCAAACTACAAGAAAGGAGATTCCACCTGAACATTAGGAAGAATTTCCTAACAGTGAAAACTGTTCAGCAGTGGAACTCTCTGCTCCAGATTGTGGTGGAGGCTCCTACTTTTTAAAGAGAGGCTGGATGGCCATCTGACGGGGGTTATTTGAATGCGATTTCTCTTGGCAGGGGATTGGACTGGATGGCCCACGATGTCTCTTCCAACTCTATGATGCTATAATTCTTGTCTCCAAGAAAATAGAGACATTTAGAAATGTCAAGGGCTTTCTCTGCAAATCTGGAGATGCTTTTGAACATAAGAAACACAGTTCAATAGTTGCTTACATTTGTGGTATTCACTCTTTTAATTGGACTTTTAAAAGGAAAACAATGGGCCGCCTTTGGTGCCATATTGCTAGAAATGCAGGATATTAAATAAATGCACGTCAACCATTCTTAACTTTCAACAATTGCTATTTCTTTAAGTTACATGATACAATCTGCATATTTCTTCCCCCTAGTTTGACGTCATGTTCTCCAGGTTTAATTACACTCTTTTATGATATGTTCTACATATAAATTAAATAGCGATGGAGATAAAATGCGTCTAGTAGTACATCACATGCTACTGATTGACTCATTGCATTGTATTAACAGCAAGTAAAGAAAGGAAAGAGTGCCATCTAGTGAACACCAAAATCCATTGCATTTTAATACTTGGAGAATTATTTATTTATTTCTCATGTCAGGAGCAAACGAAACAGTTGTATTGCATTTTTAAAAAACAAACAAAGCACAAAGTTTGCAAGCTTGGTAGTTGATTATATGTCCTTTGACCAGTATCTGACCACTTGGAGTGCCTCTGGTGTTGCTGCAAGAAGGTCCTCCATTGTGCATGTGGCAGGGCTCAGGCTGCATTGCAGCAGGTGGTCTGTAGTTTGCTCTTCTCCACACTCGCATGTCGTGGATTCCACTTTGTAGCCCCATTTCTTAAGTTGGCTCTGCATCTCATGGTGCCAGAGCGCAGTCTGTTCAGCGCCTTCCAAGTCGCCCAGTTTTCTGTGTGCCCGGGGGAGGGGGGAGTCTCTCATTTGGTATCAGCCATTGATTGAGGTTCTGGGTTTGAGCCTGCCACTTTTGGACTCTCGCTTGCTGAGATGTTTCAGCGAGTGTGTCTGTTGGGTGGGGTTTGTAGTTGCTGGGATATATAGTTCACCTACAATCAAAGAGCATTTTGAACTCCACCAACAATGGAATTGACCCAAACTTGGCTCTCATGACCAACAGAAAATATTGGAAGGATTTGGTGAGCACTGACCTTGTTTTGGAGTTGTGGTTCATCTCCATCCAGAGAATACTGTGAACTCAAACAATGATAGATCTGGACCAAACTTGGCACGAATACTCAACATGCCCAAATGTGAACACTGGTGGAGTTTGGGGACAACAGACCTTGACATTTGGGAGTTGTAGTTGCTGGGGTTTATAGTTCACCTACAAAGAGCAAACCCCAACAATAGAATTGGGCCCACACAGAACCCCCATGCCTTGGAGGGCCTCAGTGAAGCAAGCCTCCCTCCCACCTCACACACTCTTCCTTGTCTGCACATGTGCACCATGCTACCATGTGCCAAGCACGCCTGCTCTGCCCTCCCTGCTTGGAGTCTCAGAAACAGACCTCCCACTTGGCTGAGAGGCCAGCCAATCACAGAGGAGGAGGGCTTTTGATGAGAGGATTCACATAGGTTTCCAAAAAGGAAGAGGCCAGGCAGAGAGATCTCCAGCCTTCTCTGCCAAAGGGGTTCCTAAGACCATCAGAAAAATACGTTTTCTCATGGTCTTTGGAGACTCATCTGAAACCCGCTCAGGACCTCCCCAGAGGTCCCGACCCTCAGGTTGAGGAACACTGGTCTATACTAAGCTAATTAAACTGTTCCTCATTGAGGACTTGAGACTTGGGCGGTGTGGGGTTGAATCCAAACAAGTCACTTCCAGTTTGATATAGAAGAGCTATTAAAAATGTCATCCCAGAGCATATGAACTAAGCTGACTGTTTCTAAATTTCTCTATGTATGACATATTGCTTTTATTTCACTTCCTAGGACTACAAATGCCAGTCTTATGGGTACAATGAACAGACCCCAAAAAGATGTGGAAGAATAAAGATTTTATTGCATAAGAAATACTTTTTAGGTTGCACATATTAATAAGGCATACTTTATCCCCATTAGTCACATTATAAAAAATATTTCTACTCAAAGATAAAGATTGTTCCATTTGCATTATTTATTTACAGTTTGTCTATTAAAGAAAGTAACAACATTTCAAACAAGATTTGGTTAAGAAGCTCTATTAGTAAAAACATTTGAAAATCAAAACCATTAAGTGCCTAGAAGCAGTCATCAAGCTGGCCCTTTTGTGATGTTCCCACAAAACACATCTGTAGGGGTGGCAGGATGATGAAGAAAACTTCTTCCAAAGACCTCAAAAATCCAGACAGTATCATATGGGATAATGAATTTATTTAGACAACCTGAACAGTATAAGACTTTATAGGTCATAATCCACACTTGGAACCGTGTTTGGAAATAGCCGGGGAGGCCATTGTAAACAAAGGGATTGTACTATCTTTGGAACTAGCTTCATCTGCAATCTGGCTTCAGCTAAAGTTTTTCAAAGGAACCCCATTAAAGTGCAGTCAACCCTCCCCTTTCACTATGGTTAGGGGCACAGGAACCCCATAAAAGTGCTATTTCTTTTTTTCCAGAGAGAACACTTCTCTAGGAATTTCTAGGTCAACTTGGGCAACTTCCTGGAATTTGACCACATTATTGAACTGGGAGGTCCGAGAGATTCTTAGAGAGAACATTTTCATTAAATCCATGAGTAATCAAATCTGCACAGATCAAACCTGCAGATGTAGAGGGTTGATATAGCTAAGGCATGAGTCACCACAGCCCGTCATATGATACTATGAGCACATGCAGCTAGTGCTTCAACTGTGCAAGTATACGCGCCACCATAAGACACTTGATGGCCCTTGTGCTCGCTTCCAATTCTTGAATTTTACACTGTGGACCTGCAATTTCCCAAGAGCAGGCCTCCATATAATGCATGTAATGTGTGTGTGTGTGGGGGGGGGGGGGTCCAATTATTTTGATATTTTTCTATTGCACTCACCCTTTGCAACACAGAATTATCACTCAACAAAAAGTGATGGAACAATAGTGATACTGGATTCATTGATGGATTTTCCTGTCAATGGAAAGAGGTGACCCAAACACCATTCAAGAGCCATACGAGGGGAAAAACACAATGTCCTGTGGTAAGTCCCATCAACAGATGCATTTATCCTTTCACAGTTGTGTTTTATCAGCCTCGTGTGATAAAGTCCTCCATGTTCTCCCAGTGTTAAACCCACTTAGCCCTAAAATCATTTCTCTCAAAGAAGCAACATATGTGCAGTCAAATACGGTTTCGAAAATCCCATCTTCTTGGTCCTCAGTCCTCTATAACTAAGGGTGCTCACATTTCATCTACATAAATAAATTTCATATATATGAGAATTCAACATTATTAAGGGCAAGCATTCTGCAGACCAGGATTCAAATTCCCGCTTGGCCATGGAGACTGTCATGTATTATGTTCTGCAGTTGATGGTGGTTGATGATGAAAGGGTTAATATATGTCTTAGTTCTAAAGGGTTGAGTAATCTATAAGAGTTCATGGGTGAAAGCAATCAAGGGTGGAGGTATGCAAAAGATGGGTTGCAGCTGGGTGTTTCTGGATATAAGGAGCTAGTATTGGGACTAATCTTTGGGAGAAAAGTATTTGTCTTATTTTAGTGGTAGATGCTGCTGGTTTTTTCCAAGGTTTGTGGATTTTTGGTGTCCTGACCTGTCTTTTGAACCTTTGGAATCCTTGAACCTTTGGACTGGCTTTTGACTATGATATAGACTCTTGATCCCTGGACTTTGTTTATTGAACTCTCAGCGTTTAACCACTGGACTGGACCTTTTGACTATGGAGTTATCTTGAACCGGCAACAGTGTTTGCTGTTTTTGTTTTAAATTATGTGGCTGAGTGAAATCTTTATGTTTTATATTTTGGACTATTAAACCAGCCAGAATGTAAGAGCTGTTTTAATTAAATTGTTTCATACAAACTGGGTTTTTGTTTGGTTCATCTCTGCCTCTGTAAAGGCAGAGCCCTGGCATTGTGATAGAGACCACTGGCTGACTTTGGGCGAGTCATACTCTCTCAGCCTCAGAAGGAGACCAAAGCAATCTGCCTCTGAACTAATCTTGTTAATAAAACCATAAAATTTCACCTCAGGGTGTCCCTAAATGAGAAACAATTCAAAAGCATAGAACAACAAGTGCCACCATGTGTGAGAACTGACCTTGCTATTATTACATTCAGTTTAATTGTTTATGGAGTTAGCAAACTTTTTACCACCCCATTCCTTCCCATATAACAGCGAGTTAAACCGCTAAGCTGCAGAACGGAAGGTCCATGGGACAGGTGAGCTCCCGATGTTAGTCCCAGCTTCTACCAACCTAAAACGTTGAAAAAATGCAAATGTGAGATGAATAGGTACTGCTTCGGCAGGAAGGTAACAGTGCTCCATGCAGTCATGCCAGGCACATGACCTTGGAGACATCTACGGACAATGCCAGCTCTTAGGCTTAGAAATGGAGATGAGCACCACTCCCCAGAGGTGGACTTGACTAGACTTAATGTCAAGGGGAAACGTTTAGGGGGTCTCCCTGATCAGTTGGAGAAAAAGGAACTCTGTGCAAGAAAACCATAAAAGGGGGGATGTGAAAACCCATCATCCATAATTATTCCTGAATAGCTCCATCTATTTTCAATCAAAGATAAAGCCAGGTTCTGGAGGGTAAAAAACTGACTTCTGGAATTCATCCTCCAAATCGTAGGCTGTGAGGAGAACTCGCTCAGCATCTTTTGCAAAGTTATCCAAGGCAGTGTGGAGCAGGTAATAGGCCACTACAAAAGAGATGCCTCCAGCCACCAGGTTATCCAAAAGGGGCACCCGGTCCTTCAATAACCTAGCAACCACCTTTCCATAAGTGGCCGCTTGACTCAGGATGACATGGACGGCATTCTCTGAGAGATCCCTCGCTAATGTTGAAGACACCTGGTTTTTCAGTTGAGAAGGGTCCTTTGAGGATGTGAGGGCCAAGGCTCCCAGAGAGTCATCATCCAGCCCAAAACTCCTACGATAGGAGTCCAGGGTTTTGATGAGCATGGGGATGTTCAGATGGAAAGGGAGGCCGGGTAAAGCTGAGACAAAACAGGCCATCAAAGCCCTCTTCCAAATGTTCCTGCGCAGCGAAGCTTTTTTCTTCTGCACAGCTTCGGTAGTGACAGAAGGGAATGAAAGGAGCAAGACATGCCTCTTGTGACCCTCCAGCTCCTCAGCGAGAGTGTTCTCCAAGCGCTGGAAGTCAAATCTATGCAGCTCAAAGCTGGAGATCAAAAATATCTTGGGGGAGTCCAGACCTCCTTGCTTCAGCTGGCAGATGCAGTCTGCTTCAATCTCTCTGAGCACCTGGACCTCCTCAAATCTGGTCGGCCTTCGTTGCCGCGAAGCCTGAAGGTCAAGGTCAATCTTGGAACGCACGAAGTAGAAACGCTTGCCCATCGCGGCCACTGCACGGGCCAGCTTGGCATGGTTCTCCCGGAACCTCTCAGAGGCTATGATGATAAAGAAATCGTACCTCTCAAACCCCACCTGCTGCAGGTAGGTCTCGGCTTGGAAACGTGGGGTGCCTGTCCCTGGCAAGTCCCAAATGTGGACTCTGGGCAGGCGAGGGTGTTCATAAGGCGTGGGTGAAGAGGTGGTCTCCGTGACTCCAGTAGGGGCGGCACGGGGGTCTCCGTCATTAAGTCCCAGCAGCGCATTGATGAAGGTGGATTTTCCAGCACCCGATTCACCAGTCACTGCAATCTCAAGCGTCGTGGTCTCCATTGAATCCAGGAGCGACTGGACCTGACTGGAGACTTCCAGGACCACACGGGATTGGATGAGGGTGCCCATCTCTCGGAGGTCCACTTCTTGGATTTCCATGGTGGCTCTTCTGCTATACAAAGACAGAGGGCAAAAGGACATGAGTGGAGTTTCTGTTCGTTTTCCTACTCTCTTCTAAAACATTTCAGAACTAATTAGAAAATAAAAGAGTTTCAATTTCCATAAGGAGGGAAATAGGAAAGAGGTGTCACATGTGTCCATCAAGCCATTTTAGTGCCTTTTGTCCTTTACAGATATTTTGCCCCCTCCCCTAAAAAAATACCTCTAGAGAAGCATTTCTCAATGTGGGGGTCAGGACTCCTGGGGGACATCATGAGGGGATGGAAGGCACTGCAGACTAATTCACCAGAAAAGTCAGCCATAGCAGAGCACCTGATGAACCAACCTGGACACAGCATATTATTTGAGAACAAAGAAATGCTGGACCACTCTATCAACCACCATGTCAGACTACACAGAGAAGCCATTGAAATCCACAAGCATTGGACAATTTCAACAGAAAGGAGGAAACCATGAAAATGAACAAAATCTCTGGAGACCAAGCCCTATGAGGAGTGGCTTAAAGAGCTGGGCATGTTTAGCCTGAAGAAGAGAAGGCTGAGAGGAGACATGATCAGGGCTAAGTATGTGAGAGGAAGTCATAGGGAGGAGGGTGCAAGTTTGTTTTCTGCTGCCCTGGAGACTAGGAAGCGGAACAATGGCTTCAAACTACAAAAAAGGAGATTTCATCTGAACATTAGAAAAAACTTCCTGACTGTGAGAGCTGTTCAGCAGTGGAACTCTCTGCCCTGGAGTGTGGTGGAGGCTCCTTCTTTGGAAGCTTTAAACAGAGGCTGGATGGCCATCTGTCGGGGGTGCTTTGAATGCAATTTTCCTGCTTCTTGGCAGAATGGGGTTGGACTGGATGGCCCATGGCGTCTCTTTCAACTCTATGATTCTATGAAATTGCAGGGAAAGAAATTCCACCCAAATATTAGAAGGAACTTCCCGATGGTAAAGGTTGTTCAACAGTGGACTATACTGCCTTCAAGTGTGGTGAAGTTTTTAAGCAGGAGACTGGATGGCCATCTGTTGGGAGGGCTTTGAGTGAGTCTTCATGCTTGGCAGAAAGGGGTTGAACTGAATGCGAAACTGGATGGTCATCTGTTGGGAGGGCTTTGAGTGGGCCTTCTTGCTTGGCAGAAAGGGGTTGAACTGAATGGGCTTGTGGCCTCTTCCAACTCTACAATCTCAAATACAAGACTATATCTATTGGAAAGGCAACTCTTTCTCTGCATTGAGCCATGGTTTACGAGTGTAGTGGAGGCTCCTTCTTTGAATCACTGGGTTGTTGTAGGTTTTTCCAGGCTATATGGCCATGTTCTGGGGGCAATTTTTCTCCTGACGTTTCGCCTGCATCTATGGCAAGCATCCTCGATACCTCTGAGGATGCTTGCCATAGATGCAGGCAAAACGTCAGGAGAAAAATTGCCTCTAGAACATGGCCATATAGCCCGGAAAAACCTACAACAACCCAGTGATTCCCGGCCATGGAAGCCTTTGACAATACTTTTAACAGAGGCTGGATGGCCATCTGTCGGGGGTGCTTTGAATGCAATTTTCCTGCTTCTAGGCAGGGGGTTGGACTGGATGGCCCATGAGGTCTCTTCCAACTCTATGCTTCTATCCATGTTCCTCAAATAAAATACTTTAAAATCAGGACAGTAAATAATGAACACTAAAAGAGCAGGGGAATTCCAGCAAGAAACAATCAGGTCAGCTAACTCCTCCCAACAATAATTCAAGGAATGGCCTTGAAGCTGCAATGCCATTCAATGCTAATCAAGGTGGCCAATTGCAACATTCATACTTGCCTCCAACAGACAAGAATTCTTTCTCCCACCACCCTGGATATTTCACAGATATATAAACCTCACGCCTAGTTTCCAACAGACCTCACAACCTCTGAGGATGCCTGCCATAGATATGGGTGAAACGTCTTGAACATGGTCATACAGCCCAGAAACTACAGTAAGCCAGTGATTGTGACCATGAAAGCCTTCAAAAACAGTACATTTCTATTTACCCAAATCACCCAGAAAGTTTCTTGCAGTGGAAAGGAAACAGAATGTAAAACAGAAAGGAAGGGGGGGGGGGGGGTCTAGCAAAACAGAGTGAGATGTTTTTAAAGCAGCCCAGTTTATTGTGCCTCCTTAAACCCACACTATTCTGGCCTTTGTGGGCTGGAAGCCAATGTTGCATTCCAGCCTTTATGATTATGAAGTCAAATGTTATGGGTTTTCTAGGTTGCCTTTCTCTATTTTTCTGATCAATTTTTCCCCATCCCTCCAGCCTTGCTTTCTCTCCATACTCACGAAATTCCCCCGAAGAGGAAAAGCAGGAAACAGCAGAATACTTTCGTCTGGAGGAAAGGAAAGAGAAACCATCACATGAAAAGAGGTGGAGCTACCAGGCAGGAAAACATGCTGTCCTCACAAAACAGCAGCCAATGGGAAAGGAAAGAGAAACCATCACATGAAAAGAGGTGGAGCTACCAGGCAGGAAAACATGCTGTCCTCACAAAACAGCAGCCAATGGGAAGGAGGCGTGCAAAGACGGATCAAGGGAGAGGTAATCCAAAAGAGCTCGCCCTCGGTGATCTACCTCTCAAAACGGTTCACAGCATAGAAAAGACGTTTGCAACCCAGGCTGCATTTTGCCTTCTTTTTGCAAAAAAGGCAGCAATTCGCCAATCAGATGAGGAAGTAAAGCGCGCCCCCTGGTGGCTTGTTAGGTGATTTCTCTGCTGTGAAGAAAGAAATGCAGCAAAAGGAAAAGTCTGGTGCTGATGTATTGTCGAAGGCTTTCATGGCCGGAATCACTGGGTTGTTGTAGGTTTTTGGGGGGCTATATGGCCATGTTCTAGAGCATTCTCTCCTGACGTTTCACCTGCATCTATGGCAAGCATCCTCAGAGGTAGTGAGGTCTGTTGGAACTAGGAAAAAGGTTTATATATCTGTGGAATGACCAGGGTGAGACAAAGGACTCTTGTCTGCTGGAGCTAGGTGTGAATGTTTCAACTGACCACCTTGATTAGCATATAATGGTCTGACAGAGCCTGGGGCAAACTTTTGTTGAGAGGTGATTAGATGTCCTTGTTTGTTTCCTCTCTGTTGTTGTGCTGTTGTAATTTTAGAGTTTTTTAATACTGGTAGCCAGATTTTGTTCATTTTCATGGTTTCCTCCTTTCTGTTGAAATTGTCCACATGCTTGTGGATTTCAATTGCTTCTCTGTGTAGTCTGACATGGTGGTTGTGAGAGTGGTCCAGCATTTCTGTGTTCTCAAATAATATGCTGTGTCCAGGTTGGTTCATCAGGTGCTCTGCTATGGCTGACTTCTCTGGTTGAAGTAGTCTGCAGTGCCTTTCATGTTCCTTGATTCGTGTTTGGGTGCTGCGTTTGGTGGTCCCTATGTAGACTTGTCCACAGCTGCATGGTATACGGTAGACTCCTGCAGAGGTGAGAGGATCCCTCTTGTCCTTTGCTGAACGTAGCATTTGTTGGATTTTCTTGGTGGGTTTGTAGATGTTTGTATGTTGTGTTTCCTCATCAGCTTCCCTATGCGGTCAGTGGTTCCCTTGATGTATGGCAAGAACACTTTTCCTCTGGGTGGATCTTCATCTTTACTCACGTGGCTTGTTCTTGGTCTTGCAGCTCTTCTGATGTCTGAGGTGGAGTATCCATTGGCCTGTAGAGCCCAGTTGAGGTGGTTCAATTCATCTTGAAGGAGGTGGGGTTCGCAGATTCTTTTTTGTTTGGCCAATGGATACTCCACCTCCGACATCAGAAGAGCTGTAGAATTCAGTGTATTTTGACACCACTGTAAGTGCCATGGCTCAGTGTTATTCCTCACTATATGTGCTGGCACAACTGTGCCAGGAGATTTGAATTTCTTTTCTTGCACTGTTAGTTTGCATGAATCTATTCAAGCTATGGTTTTTGGTTTTTTGTTTTTTTGCAATTGGGTAGCTTTCCCCAGGTTGCAATCATAGGGCCAACAACCTATCAATCATCATCAGATCCGCCCCTTTCTCCAGGTTTGGAGGTAAAAGGGGACTTTTAGTTCAGTCTCATAGTTTAAAGCCTTACAGTAGGACGTGTGGGCTTTTCTCTACCCCACCTGTAAAAAGCTTCGCGTCTTACAGCTCTGCTGGGGTCAAAGAAATGCAGCCACCTGGAGAGTAAAGTTACAGTTCCATAGCCTTCGTGGAGAAACTAAAAGGACACCAGCTTGGCAGATCTGCAGCAACCATTGCCTGGTAAGGGACCACTCGGGCTATCCATAATGCAGCTTGGAGCCGGGAGTTGGGGCCTCACGCCAGCAGGGTTAAGAAAGTTTGCCCAAGGAGGGGTCGGAAGGTTTCCCTAAAGAAGATAAGAACAGTTTATCAAGAAGTTGCCTGTCCCTTGTCAGCAGATCGAGAAAGCTACCAGTTTTACAAGATTATATGGCATTTTATTCATTTGTTCAAAGATTTAAGTCTTAATAAAGAACTTTGTTGGACCTATTTTGAGCCTCTACAGAACTTGTGTTGGGAAACCTGTGGAACCCTTTAGCTGAGGCACCCCAGCATCCCATTGGGCATACAGAAAGCACGTCTTATAAACAGACATTGTCATAGGCCCAGCGCGCAACAGCACACTATGATACTTCACCTTGTTGATGGGAAACTTCCCACCATAGTGGAAAACATCTATTGGACAGATGGCAAGCTATTTAATTCAGCAGACTGAAAGCCAAGTTACAACAACATCTGTTATAGAACTCCAATATGCTGATGTCAATGTTGTCTGCACATTCAGAAGAAGACCTACAAGCCACTCTAAACACCTTCGCAGAAGCATACGAGAAGCTCGGCCTGTCATTGTACATCGAGAAAACCAAAGTGCTCTTCCAGCAGTCACCAGCCAATCCCTCTCCAATGCCAGAAATACAGCTTAATGGTGTAACATTAGAAAATGTTGACCATTTCAGCTACCTTGGCAGCCACCTCTCCACAAAAGTCAACAGCAACACTTATTTATTTATTTATTTATTTATCGAGTCATGACTCAACATCAACACTGAAATACAACATCTCCTGAGCTCTGCGAGTGCAGCATTCTTCCGAATGAAGCAAAGAGTGTTTGAGGACCAGGACATCCGTAGGGATACCAAGGGGCTTGTTTATCAAGCTATTGTCCTCCCAACCCTGCTATATGCCTGAAAAACGTGGACTGTCTACAGACATCACATGCAACTCCTGGAACAATTCCATCAGAGTTGCCTCTGAAAAATCCTGCATATTTCTTGGGAAGACAAGTGGACAAATGTCAACGTGCTGGAGGAAGCAAAGACCACTAGCACTGAAGCGATGGTCCTCTGCCATCAACTCCACTGGAGGAGCCCCCGGTGGTGCAGTGGGTTAAAGCACTGTGCCGGCAGGACTGAAGACCGACAGGTCGCAGGTTCGAATCCGGGGAAAGGTGGATGAGCTCCCTCTATCAGCTGCAGCTCCTCATGCGGGGACATGAGAGAAGCCTCCCACAAGGATGATAAAACATCAAAAATCATCCAAGCGTCCCCTGGGCAACGTCCTTGCAGACGGCCAATTCTCTCACAACAGGAGCGGTTGCTCTGACACAACAAAAACAAAAAAAACTAGGGCTTTTCCTGGTCAATGCCCGACCACCATCCCCCAAAGCAGTTGCTCTACTCCGAACTCAAGAACGGAAACAGAATGTTGGAGGACAGGAAAAGAGATTTAAAGATGGGCTCAAAGCCAACCTTAAAAACTGTGGCATAGACACTGTAGGTGACTGTGGAGCCCTATTCTTAATCTGCATCTTCTCCCGCAGTGAGGGCATTGGTTTCCAGGTGGAAGGCGGTCCAGTCGGGTTGGCTTGATGCACCTTCCTCTTGGCATGTTTCTCTCTTTCGCCCTCCATTCGTGCCTCTTCAAATTCTACAGCACTGCTGGTCACAGCTGACCTCCAGCTGGAGCGCTCAAGGGCTAGGGCTTCCCAGTTCTCGGTGTCTATGCCACAGTTTTTAAGGTTGGCTTTGAGCCCATCTTTAAATCTCTTTTCCTGTCCTCCGCTGTTAGCATATCGGAGGAAATTGAAGACCTGGTTGTTTCAGCAGGCATTTGAATAGGCAGTGTAACTAATATAGAAATATGGAACGATTGGATAATGAGACTGGATCTTGATTTTAATTATGAGACGATATAAGATGTTTGATGCTTATTGATTGTTATAGTTGTTATTCTTTTAAATTGTTCTCAACTGTTTTTATCATGTTTTAAGTATTGCATTTGCTGTTGCGAACCGCTCTGAGTCACCCTGAGGGCTGAGAAGAGCGGTATAAAAATGTAGTAAATAAATAAACATTCCATTTTCCATTCTTGAGTTCAGAGTAAAGCAACTGCTTTGGGAGACAGTGGTCGGGCATTCGTACAATGTGGCAGGTCCATCGGAGTTGATGGCGGAGGACCATCTTCAATGCTGGTGGTCTTTGCTTCTTCCAGCAAGCTGAGTTTGTCGCCTGTCTTCCCAAGAGATTTGCAGGATTTTTGAGAGGGTCAATGCTGAATCATTCCAGGAGTTGCATGTGATGTCTGTAGACAGTCCACGTTTGCAGGCATATAGCAGGGTTGGGAGGACAATAGCTTTATAAAAAGCACCTTGGTCTCCCTACAGATGTCCCGTCCTCAAACTCTCTGCTTCATTTGGAAAAATGCTGCACTCACAGAGCTCAGGCGGTGTTGTATTTCAGTGTCAATGTTGACTTTTGTGGAGAGGTGGCTGCCAAGGTAGCTGAAATGGTCAACATTTTCTAATGTTACACCATTAAGCTGCATTTCTGGCATTGGAGAGGGATTGGCTGGTGACTGCTGGAACACCACTTCGGTTTTCTTGATGTTCAATAACAGGCTGAGCTTCTCGTATGCTTCTGTGAAGGTGTTTAGAGTGGCTTGTAGGTCTTCTTATGAATGTGCACAGATCATTGTCATCAGCATACTGGAGTTCTATAACAGATGTTGTTGTAACCTTGGTTTTGGCTTTCAGTCTGCTGAGGTTAAATAGCTTGCCATCTGTCCGATAGATGATTTCCACTCCGGTGGGAAGCTTCCCATCAACAAGATGAAGTATCATAGCGATGAAGATGGAAAATAAGGTTGGGGCAATAACACATCCCTGTTTGACACCTGATTCCACCTTAAATGGGTCACTTTGGGAGCCATTGGTGTCCAAGACTGTTGCCATCATGTCATCGTGGAGGAGCCACATACATATAATTGCTCTGAAAGTATAAATAAATGTTTGGAGAAGGGCTCATTTCAATACACAGACAATGCATGACAGAAGCAAACAGCCTGGATTTCTACTGAGGGCAGCATGTCATCCAAAATCCACTCTGTTTCCCATTCCCATTCCCATTTCTGTTTTAGATCCAAATTCCTCTCTT